ATATATATAGAATCTTTATTTACAACATGGGGCACTATTTTCAATTCAATTAAATTGTTACAGCTAACAAAACCGTTGCCATAGGACCTGCAAACCGTTCCAAAATAATATAAAAATCGTTGCAATAGGTAGATCAACCGTTTCCATAGGACCTGCAAAACGTTCCAAATAATCTAAAAACCGTTGCCATAGGACCTCCAAACCGTTCCAAAATAATATAAAAATCGTTGCAATATGTAGATCAACCGTTGCCATAGGACCTGCAAACCGTTCCAAATAATCTAAAAACCGTTGCCATAGGACCTGCAAACCGTTCCAAAATAATCTAAAAACGTTGCAATATGTAAGAGAACCGTTGCCATAGGACCTGCAAACCCTTCCAAAATAATCTGCAAAACGTTGCATAGGTAGTTCAACCGTTGCAATATCTTAAAGAAATCGTTGCCATTTCTGTAATACCCGTAACGGTTTAATAGAAATAGTAACGGTTATCGACCGTTGCATTTAACGTTATGGTAACAGTTATTAACCGTTGCAGTTGATAAGAATAATCGTTCCAACAGGAAGAGGAAAAACCGTAGCGATAGACTGTTCTATAGCAACGGTTATCGGAACCGTTCCAAAAACCGTTCCATAAAATCTATAGGCACGACAGCTTGTGGAACGGGCGCTGAACCGTTGCAATACATCTATGGCAACGGTTTTCTTACCTATTGGAACGGTTTTCCGTAGCCATAGGTGAATTTTCCAATAGTAGTAGCAGGCCTCCTTAGATCTTGCTCGATCTCTTTCTCGCTTTGGTCTCGATCACGGCTGGCCTCGATCTTCGTCGGCCATTGATCCACGAGCTTATCAATCCATCTCCGTACCATGTTCCGATATAACTGGGGCCGGGGCCTTGATCTTCCGTCCCGACTTCGATTAGTCGTATAAAATTAGGCAAACCCGATTTTGACCGTATACAATAGGTCATCAAATGTCTACGTAATTGAATTATTTTTAAAATTTATTGTTTATACTTAATTTCGGTGTGATTATGTTTTCCTGTTAGCTTGAGATTTCATTTTAATATAGGTCATCAAATGTTTATCTTTGTGCTGTTGAATTTGGCATAAGAAAAAGGAAGTTATAATTTTGAGTTACCATACTTGTGAGGATTAATGAGCGTTAAGTATTTGTGTTATAATACTATCGTACTGTATTCCTAATTCTTTACTCTTTAATTTCCTTGCTTGTGGTTATATATGCCAAATAAGCATTTTCTCAAACTGCGATAATTATATAATAAAGCTTGAAAAACAATATTCTTAAGCAATTACACGAGTAGTTGGCCAATTAATAACATCTAATTAAGATACTACAGGTAGCTAACTTCCTACGCTAGATACTCCACTTGTTAAACCAAAAATAAATAAACATCTGAAATAGTATTATAACATCAAGAACCTCTACTGGCAAAATTTGCCCCAAGGATAAGGGCAATAAACCCTTTGAAACTCACTTCGGTAGAAAAACCAATCTCCAACTGCTTCAGCAATTGTCTGTTTCAATGAGTTAAGATTCAATCAAATAACAGCAGAATTAAAGCTGAAACTTAATATAAAAGAAAAAGAAGAAGAAAAGGAAAATTACCTTGTTAACTAACGTTGAAGAGTTTGTGGAGGACCAGTAACTTTGTATTTCAATACCATTGTGGAAATGGCAAGAGGAAATGAAAAATCCTCTTGATATACTTGGTCCTAGTTCATTCAATGACTCCAAGAATGTCAACCTGAATTCTGAAACAAAAAACTCAAAAGCAAGTTAGAGAGAGGAATTGTCACATGAATCAGATTAAAGAATAGTAATTAATTAATTAATTATCCGGATTAATCGATACATACCTTGGAGCGTTTGGATTTGAGTTGGTGAGCATATATTTATTGTTATATTAGTTAGTGTTTTGATGGTAGTGTTTGAGAAGATGTTGCTTTGTCCCTCATTGGAAAAAGAAAGAAAGGAAGAAGTGTTTAAAAGCACTTTTTTGTCTTACATGATTTGAATATTTTAAAGATGTTTTGGAGGGAAACTAGAATTTGGCTATATTATTAATAATCAAGATTGGGCACTTGGGCCAATTAAGTAGCCCGAATTAATATTTTAGCCACCCATTTTTGGATTAATTAAAAACGTTTTAGCCTTTTAATTTCAGGAAAACATTTTAATATTTTTTTTTAAATTCAAAAGAAGGTGGCTATTGGTTTTAAAAGGTGCCTGTTATGAAGAGATGTGTCTGTTGATTCCAACAGACTCCTAGAGGTATTATAAATACCTATTTCATCTCCAAAACGAAATCATCTGAAAACTTTCATCTCTTTCTCTTCTACTTATTTTCTACAACTCACAACTATTTTGTTCTTGTGGGAAATTCGAGTTAATTGCTGAAACTCGGATTTCAGAGGCTTTGTAGAATCCTGGAGGAATTCTGCCATAATCCCTGCA